CCATACATAATCCCTGTTGATCGAAAATGAAAGTGATCTTATACATGCTACAATGTGTAACATCCTTGCGCAAAGCAGCTTCCCTCCGGATCCTGTCCTTGACATCCGCGCAGCTGCACAAACGCTGGCTCGTGCGCTAGGAGTGTGGCTGTTCCGCTGGAAGAATTGCCAGTGAAGAAGTTGTGGGATGACAAGGCATTCACTTGCTCTGCGCCACTTGGGATTCACTGTTACTCCCAAGGGTTGCTACTTCTCTCACAGGCAATGCTGGCTCTGGCACCCATCCCCGACTGACCACTCCGGCATTTTCTTACTCAATGACCTTGCGTGGCCTTCGTCCCCATGGGGCTTGATCCTGAGCTTTGCAAACGCAAAGCTAAAGAGTCTCCGGCATCCAAAGCCCAGCTTCACATCCATGCAGAGCAAGCTTGACTTCAGCCGCCTCAGCCAATCGGAAGGCTTCCCAAGGTCACTGAAAAAGGGATTTGTCCGTTCCGGGGACCCAGCTGCGCTCCGCTTGGCCCGCAGCCCAGCGCGCGAGGTCTGCGCCCCGCCTGCATCATCAGCGAATCGCAGCCCTTCAGGCCATCCGGCACCTCGCGGTGCACCATGGCGTCCGCCTGCGCGGAGGCAGTTTTTACATCCGTCAGCTGCAGCCAGCGAGTCTTCACCAGTGCAACGTCCCTCCTTTTTGGAGATGGTGTCACACCGGTTGGCGGAGAGGTGTTTTTTGTTTGGTTGCTGTTGTTGTTTTCTGTTTGTGGTACCTGAATCCAAACTGATGCGGAGACAAGCTGAGGAGTGACACCTCCCCGGCCTGCTCCTCCTTGGAGGTCGCGAGCTCCTTCTGAATGATCCTGCTCAGCCAGCGACACTCGGGACTACCAGATCTCGCCAAGCTCGCAGATTCGCAGGGATGCAAAGTTGTGGGCTATGAAGCTTGGGGTCGAACCCTTCTGGTCAGCGAGTGGAGCCATCCTCACATTTCCGAATCACCAATTCAGGGAGTTGAATAAACAAAGTGCCACCACAGCTGGTTCGACCAGCAGAAGACTTGTTGCATGCTTTGCTTGGCCATGGCCTTGGACAAACGACTCTGGCTTTCCAACCAACCAGGACCAACTCTCCCGACTTCTGCTTCAGGAAAGCGCGCTTCGGCAAAAGTGGCCTGGCATCCGCGTCGAGGAAGGCGTACTTGGACTTGTTGCCTCTTCCCAAGTAGGCCGCCTCGAACTCCTGCACACGGGTTGAGTCTCTCTCCCACTAACATGGCACCTCACAGGGGGTCCCTCCAAGAGGAAACTGATCTTCCAGGTACCCTCCCACAGGTGCCATCTTGGTGGGAGGAAGGGTACCTTACGGATAGGTACGTTAGCGACTTCGACACCGGATGTCGACTCTTCGGTTCACTCTAACTCTGGTAAAGTTGCTTTACTTTCAGCATCAAACGTTGGACCTCGGTCACCGTACCCCCTCCTTGTCCCTAGAAACAAGAGCTTCCCTGACCGTCGCTAGATAAATGGCAAATGGGGCGCCACCTTGCAGCCTCATGACTTGCTGCGGACGACCAGAGACTTGCTGAGATGCAGCCTTCGCAGCTCTGCAAGTCTCTTTTGTTCTCATTGAAACATGTGGCCGTGGGTCAAAAATAGGTACCCAAAATGGAACCCTGGTAAATGGAAACATGGACTAAAGCCTGCGGTCCATATCCTGGCGGTTTAATTTTGACCCATACCCATGTCTTCCGAGGTCGGAACTCCCGGGATGCACACGGTTCATCTCTCCTTCTTGGGCAAGGCCCAGCCAGTCAAGTTGTAGCAGTCATCCACAGCCTCCTGCAGCTCCTCCGGTCCGATGATCCCAACCCGGTGATCAACGGCTGATCCCTTTTCGCCGAGGTTAAGCTTGAAGAGGCAGAAAAAAGATTTGGTGGTCACTGAGTAATGTGGGATGGTTTGGGGAAGGGTGGCATTGCACGAAGGTGCATTTGCCGCGACCTGAACGTTTGAGAACAAGAGATCCAACAACTAAAACGCTGCCAATTCGAACTAAGCCCCTCAACGATTGACTGCTGGTGAGTTGCCAAATGTGAGAGCAGAAGCCACTCCATGCCAATCAGCCGGAAGCCCCAACGTCCACAGAATAATCCACACTCCCTCCTTTGGCACAGCAACCCGACCCCACCAACCCAACCCGACCCACCGACACCCGCCATGATCCTCCTTGGTGAGGAAAGTCTGAATCACGCAAGAGCCTTTCCTGCGCATGGCCCAGCTACTTGCCAACGCACGGCTGTCCAATCTGGCCTTGCTACCAACTGAGTTCAACCGCTGGCTGACAGGCTTCGGCGTTTCGGCACAAACAGTCGCATCTGGGAACCAGAGCGAGCACAATTGGGCACAATTGGGCACATGCAAGCATGGGCCAATAACTAGCCTGGCACATTCACCTTGTGTGCGTTGGTTCATTGTCAAGTCTCCACAAAAGAGCATCTGGGTGTGTTAATTATTCATCAATAACACCCCTTGATGGCGGCATGAAAGGAACACCCAGCGCCGGCCGCGCTTGGCTTGCCGCCGATTCGCCCCGCCTGGCCAAACATTCTACAACTCGGATGGAGAAGGAGAAGCTCTCCTGCGCGAGGCGCGCCTCACAGCTCCCTGCCTTCCCACGGATCCAGGTCTGGCGGACAGAAAGCGCTTTTGGAGGTCTCAGGGGCGAAGGGACGGCTCACCGGAACTCCCCGAAGCTGCTCTCCTCCTCACTGGTGGGGATCTGGAGGTCACAGCTCAAGTCTAGCTCCAGCTCCTGGACAACGTGCCACGGCGATGCTATTGGATGGGCGACAACAACTTTGGTCCCCGTGCGTGACCATTTCCCATGGACTCCAGCAGCCGTAAAAGCTGCCGAAAAATTTGGCCCCAAACCCCTGGACGAAACCCACAAAGACATGCGTCCTGATCGGCCTCCACTGGCTGGAGTGCCATCTTCCAGAGTCGACCTGAGCTCTGGGGACAGAGGTGCCGCATGTGGTGAAGATGCCATCTGCGATCCAAGCAGTTGTCCAACACGCATAACATCCTGAGAATGGCAAACACTAAGTCACTAAGATGGAATAATGAAACAAATGGGAAACTTATGTGCCACACAGCCAAGTTCATAATTCAATCAAACACAGGCCGACAAACAACGCAACAAAAACAGTTTGCACACAACTGATCAAACACAAAGGACATAACCCCCCCCCCGCCCCTGTATTCAGGCAAGAAGCCGCTCGGCAGCCAAGCGCACTAGAAGGATCCGGCATAAGCATGGACAAAACAAGTTGCAAGCTGGGCTGGATCGTCTGCAACCATCACGGAACCTTACTCCGTTATCCCTTGTAGAGAGCATTTCGACAACAAATTTTGATGGCAGTAAAATGTAAAGTTGCAAAACCAAACATGCGCCACCTTCATCACGTTAGTTTGCTGGATGAGCCTGACGTTCGCAAAACATG